TAAAGAATTGATCAAATTCATAAGGGCAGGTTTAGCGGTTTCGGAGATATAACGAAAAAAGTAAAAAAAATGCCATTTGGCGGTCAAAAATGATCATTAGACATATGCACATCATCAGATATTTTATAGAGATTTTAACAATAAGTATAAATTTTGTTTACATTCCCATAAGTTCTATGCACTAACTCTATGCAGTTAAAGCAGTACGATTGCTTTGAAAGAAAGTTCAGATCTTCCAAAATATGTCAAAATAAAGAAACCATTTTTTTTTCAAAAAAAAATATTTTTTTTTAAATTTTTTTTTTCAAAAAAAGTAATTTTTTGTCCAATTTATAGTTTCTCAAAAATCTTATTTTTTCGAAGTAAAATTTTTTCAAAAATGTTAATCTAAAATAAAAAATAGTAGTTTTTGGTACGGGAAGTTCCAGCAATTTGCCTTAAGGCACGATGCCTTAATTGCCTTAAGACAGAATTCCACTTACAGCCAGTTTAAAATAAATTCAGCAATATCATTTTTTCTCTATACTATCGATTTTTTTTAAAAAAAATGGATAAATTATGCTTATCCCTAGTTCTCCTCGCGATCGCTTCCGTTGGATCCGAGAATTCAATGACGTGCGCATCTTTTTATCTTGTCTCCAATTTTTTTAGGTTCAATTTTGTCCTCTTGCTCATCCGTTTTTGCATGCGACTCCGCAATTAGTCGCAAAAACAAAATATGTCAGTTCGTACGCTAATAATTGCATTCCTGTTTCACAGGAGATACACATCTTACGCCGATGAAAGATATAGGTAGGCATGTTGAATTCACTTTTCGAGCTCAGTGGAAGTGATGGCTTCTACTTCCTCGACAGACGCCGGCGGCTCAGAAGGAAGAGGTATGTCAGAAATACATCAGAATCTTTTACACTGAAAGTGCGATTTCCGATAAAACAATTCGAACTAGTGGTGCTTAGCATTGTGCCTTAGGGCAAATTGCTGGAACTTCCTGTACCTAGAATTAAAATATTAATATTTTTAAATTTTTTGAAAAGTTTGAATCAAAAAACTGAATTACCATTTTTGGCACTTTTTGCTTCATATCGAATGATTTTTGAATTATTCAAATCGGTTTGTTCGTGTTCCCGAAATTGTCGACAAAAATTTGTATCTGTATTTTCGAAAAATACAGTTGAACATTTTATCTAAATAGCAGAATCTCAATTGTTATTAATTAAGTATATTCTGTCTACGTATCGGGAAGTTCAAGCAACTTTCATCAAGGCAAAATGCTACTTCCAACTAGTGAAAATATATATTTTATGAGTTCGTTATGCGCAAAGCATATTAGATACAGTATATCTGATACACGTCAAGAATTATAATATTGTTCATGTCAATTGAATCGTATTTTTCATCATATTTATCTATTAAATATGCATCTTCAACTTACCGTAGGGTATGTTATAGTAATCGCAAAAAAATCGAAAATGAAAATTTTGATATATCTTTACGTTTCAGAGGTTCTTAAACATTTTGGCATACCTTAGAAAAAATGGATGTCTGTGCGTGTGTGTGTGTGCGGATAAAAATTTTCATCGATAATTTCGGGAACACGGTTCAACCGATTTCAATTATTTAAAAAACATTCGATTGCTGTTGATAATGAGATGTGCTGATTAGTTTTACAAACGGTAACTCAGTTTTTAAGAGAACGGAGCGTCCGATTTTAATAATTTAAAAAACATTTTACTTTTATTGACAAGATGAAAAACGGATTGAATTTTCGATAAGGCAGCAGGTCTAGCGGTTTTGGAGATCTAATGAAAAAAGTAAAAAAAAATGCCATTTGGCTTCGATATTTCGTCTCTATGCAGTTAAAGCAGTACGATTGCTTTGAAAAAAAGTTTAGAATTCCCAAAATATTTTCAAATAAAAAAACCTTTTTTCCAAAAAGTCCTTTTTTACCAAAAAAGTTAATTTTTGTCAAAAATTTAAAGTTTCTCAAAAATCTAATTTTTCCAAAGTAACGATGCCATTTCAAATTTCACATTAGTTGTAATTTCCTAGTATTGGGTTATGCAAAAAAAATATTATTGCTAAACGTTCAATTTTTAAAATACGTGTGCATAATGTAGATATGCATTATTATACATTTCTTGCTACTGTAGCGTCGTGTGACAGCATTATTAATCAATTATATTATAAATACCGAATCAGTAATGCCAATGAGTGCAAATTGAAATATTAGATGATTCGGAAATATTTGAAATATAATATGGCAAAAATTATTCCACATTGTTCATTGTAATTGAAATGGATCATTTAATAAACAAAATTAACTTGAATTGTTATAATGCTTTCTAATAATTAGGCAAAATGATGCAGTTACACCGGTTATTATTATAATTTGATTTTGAAAACATAACTAAATTTAATATTGCTTGGTTTAGTAAAAAAATAATTTGATTATTATAACTTGACGAGGAAACTAAGTGCTATCTGTAACAGGGGTAACTAATAACAGTTTTCATTGTCATAGTTATTGCTCCGTAGGCCGACACAATAAACAGGACTGTGCAGGTCTGTCATTTTTTACAATTAATATAAAATTGATCTATTATAAAATTTTGGTTTGCATTGTTATTATCGATTATTTTTAAATTTCATTTATTTCTTCTCTCGTTTCAAATTAATCAATCTTAGGTAATGTGTAAGAATTTTTGTGATTGCTAATTTATATAAACAGTTTTCTTAAATAATGTTAAAAACACATTTGGGGTTAGTTGAAACAAAACCTTGGGGCTAGTTATATCACACAAAAATTATATATTCAAGTGATTAAGATTTAATAAAATTATATAGTTTGTAAGACGAGAGCGCATGTAAATTGAGTTACAAGAGATATATCTTTGCAGCATGTGGTCATTAAATGCAAGGTAGAGCGGGGCTTAAATATTCGCGGGTGAAAAGGTCCACCACCGATATCTCAAAAACCAGTAAGGTTAAAAAAAATTTAACGACGGGGAAAAAATGTATGACCAGACACCACCTTTATTCATACGACATTGCTATTGGGAGAAAAACGACGATGATTAAAAAGCCATAATAAAAGTATTTTCTTCACTGTTATTTGTTTTGATTGTGAACACTGTTACTTAGTTTTCCACACCTTAATATAATTTTTAAGTATACGCTATTTAATTGTTTTAAAAGGTGTATTGTTAATTTTAAGTTAGATTCAACCTTTTGTTTTCTATAAACTCCATAAAAGCTTACATCTGGGTGGGTTAAAAGAGACCAACTGCACCTTCACCCTGGCGAAGGCGTGAAAAATAAAAAATAGCAAATAAGAAAGTTTATTAATTTAAAATAAGCAATTTTATAAGAGAACAATTAAATAAATAGTTATTTTGACTTTACTGATGAATATATCTGACTACCAGATCTAAATATCAGCTCTTGGTTAAACCGATGAAATTTATATCTTGCATTGGTTGAATAATGTAACTATTATTAACTTCCCGTAGGGCAAGTTATAGTAATCGCAAAAAAACGAAAATGAAAATTTTTATATATCTTTACGTTTCAAAGGTTTCTGAATATTTTGGCATACCTTATAATTAGAAAAAATGGATGTATGATGTGTGTGTGTGTGTGTGCTTGTGTGTATGTGTGTGCGGATACAAATTTTCGTCGACGATTTCGGGAACACCGATCAACCGATTTGAATAATTCAAGAAAACATTCGATTCGTATTGATAAGGAGACGTGCTGATTAGTTTTTGGCGAAGGCAGATCTAGCCGTACCGAAGATACGGGGCAAAAAGTGCCAAAAATGGTAACTCAGTTTTTAAGAGAACGGAGCGTCCGATTTGAATAATTCAAAAAACATTTTATTTGTATTGATAAGATACAGAACTGATCAAGTTTTCATGAGGGCAGGTTTCGGAGATCTAACGAAAAAAGTAAAAAAAATGCCATTTGGCGGTCAAAAATGATCATTAGACATATGCACATCAAATTATCAGATATTTTATAGAGATTTTAACAATAAGTATAAATTTTATTTTTATTCCTATGGGTTCCTTACCAGTGTTTATCCGTTAGACGGCGACGCAGCGCTTACGCGCTTTGATATTTCATCTCTATGCAATTAAAGCAGTACAATTGCTTTGAAAAAAAGTTCAGAATTTCTAAAATATGTCAAAATAAAGAAAACAGTTTTTTTTCAAAAAAAATTTTTTTTCAAAAAGAAAAAATTTTTTGTCAAATTTATAGTTTCTCAAAAATTTAATTTTTTCGAAGTAAAATTTTTTCAAAAATCGTTTTTAAAGAAACAATAATTTTTGGTACGGAAAGTTCCAGCAATTTGCCTTCAGGCACGATGCCATGCGCCCCACTAGTTTGTTATGATATAATTGTTTTGGTTTTTGCGATATAGTTATTCAAAGTAAAATTGAATCTTTGCAATACCCTAGCCGTACTCTTTTGCAATAAAAACATTACATGCGACAAACCTACAGGACAATAACTCGAAGTGGAAGGACTGGTGCCAATTCCAGTGGGAATTATACGAGAAGTTGAGTTTGAGTTACTATTCGGTTGGTCGCGTCTGGTGCCGTGATTTATTATAACATCCAATATACATGAGCGGTAATGTCATCGTTAAACGCGGAATTCTACACCCCATACTTAACCGTAATTATACTCCTGAACCGCAATCTGTAATATCTCCCTACCACCATTCGGGACGCGGACGGAGCGCCCGCACGGACAGATGTAGTTTAGCCTGACTCGCACGACGGATAGACGGATACTACTACGCTGCGTCTCGCGGACTTGACTCAGTCGTTCTCGTGTTGTCGGCGGAGTAACAGCTACTGCTCGGACGAGCGCTTCATTCGACGCAAGTTCTCTTTGCACGTGCTACACGAGTTTTACCAATTCTCTTCATATACTACAGTTGTTCGTTAAATTTTATTACGTTTAGTGTGTTTTATTCTGTGTGCTATATTATAATCGTTTCGTTAAAAATTCACGAAAACAGTGTAATCAATAACATAATTAGTGGTTTCCTTGTGGATTATTGCTGCAAGTTCCGATTTGAAGTTGAATGACTTTATTTTTCTGCCACTTCAATTTCTCCACTGCTCGGACATGAATGCGGCTACTGAATTGCAAGCACTGATGCTTAAAGGTAATTTTGAATTTAAATTATATTATTATTGATAAGTGATTATAACAAATGCATGTATGAATTGAAAATGATTCAAACAAATATTAAGAGCAATTATGTGTCGGAAGTCGGAAGCAATTGAAGTCTGTGCCAAATACCTTTAATATTAGGTTGTCAAATATCTCCCTTCCGCTTTTTTGTATGGTTTAAAATACAAAAAGGCGGAAGGGAGATATTTGACAACCTATTATTTATTATAATTATAATTATAAAAGTTTTTACTTATATAAAACATACAAAATTATTTTATATTACAACGTATTTCTTTAACTAGTCAGTTGTTTTTGACTGTGATAATATCACACCAAATTCGAGTTTCCTTTGATAATTTTTAGAATGCAGCATTTTGATACGCGCAGACCAAAAACAGATGTTTCCTCTGCCATGTGTTTTATGCTAAAAATATCGTATTTGACTAAATATGTAAACTAAGATCATGTAAACAACTTTCAAAAGTTTTTGTAAGCATGATCAATATTTTTCAAATCAGACGTAGTAATTCTTATTGGCCTCAATTAGAAATGCTGATATTCTCCAATTATTTACCTTGCAAAATATTAGTAATAATAGCAATTTATGGCACCATAAAATTTCAGTATAGCATTGTATTGTATATTGAAAGGAAGTTGTAAATGATTAATAAATAATTCGATTTTTTTTCGTCAGTATATACCAAATTATTAGTATATTTTTTATATATAAGGTTGTCAAATATCTCCCTTCCGCCTTTTTGTATTATAAACCAAGAGCAAAAAAGCGGAAGGGAGATATTTGACAACCTAATATTTAAGGTATATTTTAAATTTGTATTATACTACATTCATTCGCTTTACTCTGCAACCAGATAATTTAGTCAGGTCTATATTTTTTATTCGTTTATCAAATGCTAATATAAATATGTAGTGTTATCGGTAGATTTGACAGATTATTCGTTTGTAATGCTATTCAAATATTTTATTATTTATTATATTTTGAAGAAGTAATTGATACTCAGCTATTACGCTTTCACTAAAAAATTATCAATACCATTTTTAATTGATGTCTTTCAATCATACGTGCAATATCTGTAATTGTATAAATTGACATATATAACGCATTTCATTCCAACTACTTATTGTTCTAAAAATGTATTTTATTTAATTGTGGACGTAAATTTGAAATCAGTATGCTTAACACCACAGGAGATACGATCTTAAAAGCAATCTATATCCAACATTATCTATATCTTTAGAACACTCTTTAGATTTTTAAAATCGGTTGAAAATTGTTGGCGGTTTTTTTTACACTTCTCTGGTAATTAAATAGAAACGGCTGGACTATCTCAAAAGAATATTGATTGGCATAGAGAGATTTCATGAAAATAAACAAAATCCGTTGCTAAATACGAGTTGGTTTAGGGCAAATTCAGATATCTTATACCGGGACGCCTCGGTTTGAGAATGAGTGCACGTGCTGGCGTGCTATATGGCACATCGGTGGTACTTTGAAGCGGCGCAATTAGCATGCCGCAAATGCTTCTGATAAAAGCACATGGCGTTGTACTGATTTAGCATAAATCAATCAATTGCCGATTGCATCATGAACCTGTAAATTTCTATTACGTTGCTGTGTTGTTTTATGGCTGCTGCTGTTCGGTTAATTCGTCCGTGTCAGCTGGAATTGCACACAGTAACGGCTTCCGATTATCTAAAATGCGTCATAAGCAAATCAGCTTTGAATCGATGTGTGATGGCACACAAACAGCCACTGGTACGTTGCATGAATATGTAGGAAATGTCGTTTGGCGTCATGTAATAGTTCTCTAAGAACTGATACTCTGTCGATTTGCACAAGACAAGCAATTACGTCTAACACCAAGTAATCGTGACACTTAACTTTTCTCAATTCCATGAAATGATTTATTATTACTTTTAACAAGTGTAAATTATATAGAGTTCTTTTAATACATTTTTGAAATGTTCATTTGCAGCCAAATTATTGAAATAAGAAACAATAAAAAACACACCCTCGCGACCGGTTTTTTTTCTAGTATTCTTTTAAAATAGTCGAGCCAGAATCTATGCCAAAAAATACGTACCTTCCATGGTGTTTTGCATACTAGATGAAATGAAAAGTGTTGAACAACTAGTTTCAATTTATACAATTACAAAAGACAATTGTGTATATATAATTTGTGTGTATTTGAACTAATGGTTTTTAGTTTTAATCTAATATTTGTAAAGTGGTCTGCTCTTATATTTCTAATAATACAAATTGTTAGTCATGTTTCGAAATTGAGCATTAGTTTATATGTATTCTAATCAATTTCTGAGGTATATTATGTTTTACGAAAATTCAAAAATATAATCCTTGAATTAAAGCGCTATTTATTAATAGTTGTTCATAATTATCTTGTTAGCGTTACGATTTCATATGCTTATTAGAAATGCTGTTTTAATAAGCTGTTAATAATCAGAGTATTTGTCAGATATTGAGTCATAAATCAGACATTGGTCGCGACATAATGTCCTGAGATATCAAATAATAATTAGTGGCGTTTATTAATGAAAAGATCAAGAGTGCGCGAACATGCGATTATCACTGGCGCCCTGCGGTAATTATATTGCTCTAGTTTGTCCAATATCACACAGCACTTACTTTACGGAATTACTATAGTTTCGCGCCGTTTGTCGCGGTTATTGAAGTGTTTTCCATATGTATACTCTAGTTTATTTAGTGTTTTTACAGATTTGAACGAAAACATTATTTCATAAGTCGCGATCAAATCTTTTCTTCTAATTTATATTTTAGCGCAATATGATTTTTTACTAGTCGAAAATATTCTAGTGTACTAAGTTCATTTGTGTAAAATATTAAATTATTTTTATTATTATAATTTTAATATTAATATTCAAATGTATATTTTATATGTCCGTATAGTAAATTATTTCACGTCACTTCAACAATAGTTTTATTTCTTTATAACTCTTGTTTGTTGTTTTTCTTTGTTGTTTTCGCTAAAACCCGTCAGCAGTTACTTGAGAAATACCGACGAAAGTACGGCGACCTTTAGTTCTCTTTGCGGCGGCGGCGGCGGCGTTCGAGCCGGCCGATTACGCGCCCAACCCCCCAAGCGTTGAGGCGTCGGTCTACACAACATATCGGGTTATTTCCGACTCTCGACCGGGGCGACTCTATCTCCGTGCATCTTTCTTTACTACACGTACGGACGTGCACACGTTGTGTCTGATCTCTATAACACACAATCAGAAATAGATCGGGCGTCTTTCTTCGTCTCTTGGAGCGCCGACGGTGTTATTTGCGTCTTGTACATCTTATTGTGTTTAGATAAGACGATGAGACTTCCTCTACGCGCCTAACGATCTGTTTGTGGCTTCCCCGAGGGTTGTGTGACACGTGCTAACACAACTATAAATACAGCCAGACTCGCCCATATGCCTTGGCTATTTTTATAGCAACTTTCAATGTATGCATGTGTAATAGGTATTTGCATGTCTGCTCTTATTCCTATTGCATTTCAACATCTCATAATAATGATTTTGCTTGTCACATAATTTTTTTTTATAATTTTATTTGAACAGCAATCAGAACTAATGGGTTTTATGAGCTGTTGTGAGTAAGATCTTACAAACTACGTTTGTTTTATTACAGATGGCAACCCAAACAGTTGTCACATCTCTGTATGATAAATTTTTATTACAATCTCTGTAATAGGGCAAGTATGGTGCAACAATGCCGGGTGAGGGCTATTTTCACTTGGAAACATATTGCTATCTATATTTTCAAGTGAAAATCGTTGTCAATGTTGCCTGATAACAGGCTGCTCGAAGTGGGTATCGAACCCGGGACCTCTGAAACAAGTCCCGTCGCTCTTAACCGCTTACCTACGGGCGAGCCCTTGTCACATAATGATCTAAAAGATTGCTTCACATTATGAATGAAACTCAATAAAAAACCGAATTAGTCCATTAATTATAAGGTTTTTCTTGTTGTTTTGAGTGAATCACAAGAACACAGGTAAGATAATTATTTCGCAATTGATCATGTGCATCATATCTGTAAATCTTGAGCATATAATGAACAATAAATGTGTAAATCAAAGCAAACAAATCAATGCTTGATGTAATCTTGGTTTGAGGTCTTGATAAAGGTCATGCAGTCATTAATGCGAGCGAGTAGTAATCGTATTATGCTTGAATATACGGCACGTTATCTGTCCAAGGAGCGTTTAGCGCGATCGAGAATCGGTCGCTTTGCCGGAGCAAGGAGACCCGCGGAGAGAGTCGCCGCAGCACACTCGTTTTAGTAATATTTGCATTAGCACAGCTGTGCCGGGGCATACCGCGTACGTACTGTGGAACATCACACATCATCATTATCGTGTTGGTTTCATTCATTCATTTCGACGAAGGAGGTTGCACGTCGCGTGACACGCGTCCTTGTGCGGCAATGCGATGTTAATTGCTTATCTAAACTCGTATCTAAATGGATCATTTTCACGAATCACGAATGTTTTCACACTGTCGTGAGCACACACGCTCATACTTCCGACAGTGTTTGGCTACGACCACGATTAATGTAAGCACTGTAGCCGCGAATTTGTTTACTTTTTGCAGTTGCCCAATCAAAGAGGACGGTCTTAAAACGTCTTTTCATAGTTTTCCAAAAAAGTTTTATCAAATCAATTTGAAAATTATTTTATATTTCAAACTCTTATATTATATTTCTTATATTTATATTAGGGATATATATTCAAATATGATATTAGTAAGAGTTTTTTATTCATAAGGCGTCCTTGTCTGGAAGTTATAATATTTCTTGCCCAGATTTGGATCACTTACGAAGTATAATCAATTAGAACCGTGAGGTTCTATAAGATTATCAGCTGACAGTATATAACGTTTAGAAGCTTTTCTCCAGTGAGAATTGTTTGTTAGTTCGTTAATAGAGCTTCTTTGGAG